ATAAAGGTCACACCTTGTCTCAAAGTCAGGGCTGGATAGGCCCTGGGGGGCGGTCAATGTGCTCACATCTGACATGTGGGCCAGAACCTTCATTTCACAGCAGGGACGCCAAGGTTCTCAGACGTCAACACTTTTTCCTGAGATTTCTAATTAGGACAAGGGCTTGATCTCCCAAATCCCATGCCACTGCTGTCTTCCTTACGCAGGCATTTCCATAAGGGTGTCCCCTGAGAAGTTCTCTAGGATGTTAGCACGAGTTAAGTGACTAAAAGTCAAATTGGTTTCTATGCCATGGGAGGACAATATGAGGGCCTTTAATCTGCTTAAGGGCATCTTGAATCTCTGTGATGGGGACAAAAGAAGCAGCATTTACCAAACTAATTTGACCACGGAGCCCTACCTTCCTGCCCCGCTCCAAAAAAAAAAAATCTCACAACAAAATGTTTGAGGAGACAAACTTCAGGAAACCTGATTCCAGATGGTGCTGATTCCCCAAGGACATATCAACTTTTAGTATATAATTTTCGTACACACAGATACTTTGAAAATATTCAAGTAACTTCAAATCCCGGAGAGATACAGTTGGCTCATCTCTAATGAGCCAACTTTGAGATCCAAGGAATTGTCACATAACCAACAAGTACCCCCAGGAGCCACATAATTTCTGGAAGTGCCAATATCCCTTTTGGGCTCCCTCCCAGATTAGATGGGGTGTGAATAGCAAGACAAGAGGCAGGATGCAGTCCAGCGGACTTAGCTGCCAGTCAGCCTTCTCTGAGGCGCTCCAGGCTCCATTATTGGCATCGGTGATCGCTAGCCTGCCTTCTTCAGCTCTCTGAGGACAAGGTCTCTAGAACATTCAGCATATCCCTAGGTGAAGCTGAAAATGTTAAAATATCTACAGCAGATTCAAATGCTCAAAACTTACTGATTTAAAAATATTGTACAACATTCCTCTATCACATAGTTTGTCCCCCAAAGTCATTATAAACAAATATTGGAGGGAAATGAATACCATATCAGACAACTTATGACTTCAGGCTCCCCTTCAGCTCCTGCAAATGAACAGTAGAGCCAACAGAGCAGAGCCTCGTACAACACTGTCTAAAAGTCAAGCCACACACTGCCAGTATAATTCCATGTGGCAAAAGGGTTTAAGACTGTCCAAAAGAGGTAAGAAGAACTACAACAAATAGCATGGTAAAAATCCAAGTATCATTTTGCCCTCTGAATTTAGTTCTGCTTGACTCTCATCTCCCCTTTTCAAAATCTCCACCTCAACAAAAGGGTGTCTTGGCCCATTGCTTCTCTTCTTTCTTTAGTGCCAAGTCTTTTCCATAAAGCTTACCTGGCGCTGCCAGTGACATCCAAGCCATTCCCATAACCTACCACTTAAACAAACATGAACTATCCCATTGTAACCTGGGATTTCTATCTCAGAGCAAAAATTCCAGAGAGATGCGAAGAAAAAGGAAGGAAAATCAAAAGGTAGCAGATGCTGGTTTATCCCTAACTTGATAAGTTCCCAATTCCTTCCTCAATAAATTACTTTGTAGTTGGCCCAAAGTCTAAAGTTTAAACTTCTTAAACTTAAGTTTTAAACTTTAAAAAGATTTAAAATATTTTCCAATGTAACTCGAGCTCTAAAATAGCTGGTCTACAATAAAATGCTAGCTTCTAATGTGGGTTGAGTTGTAGTCAAATTGGGCCTAGGGTGTCTGTTTTCTGAGACATTGGCTGTGCATTCCTCCAGAAACAAACAGACAAACAAACAAACAGAAACCCCTTCATTCAACCAATGCTATTTCCCTTAACAATCTCTTGAGCAATCATTCACCATGACAAACGAGTATGTAACAAGAGAGTTGCTATGAAAATGATGAACTATGGTTTTCCATGATCATTCATTGGGGTGGCCCTGTTGAGCTGTCAAGAAAGAGAACTCCAATATGAACCTCACTTGACCCATTGCTAAACCTGAGCTTGGTGAGGAAGGTGGGCAAGAGAACAAACACAAAGTAATGCTGTGCACAGAACA